AATTCGTGAATAAGTATCCGAGTTGAGTACCTACTTATCTAAAATAAATTTACTGCAGTGTTCGGTTTCAGTTTCTGGATCGAATTCAACCTGTAATCCGAACTTAGCCACTGTAATGTTTTGATGGTTTATATGTAGGTAGCGCCTCGAATTACGCAATCTCGCAAATGGTTTTTTGATTGTTTAATTCGTAACTCGCGCACCTTCTCCGAACCTCGTTCAGTTCGGTTTGCCATTGTTGTAGGTGGTCTACTGTTATTTTTCTTCTGTCACATCGTTTGATTTACGCTCATTTTTTATTAACATATTTCGCTCGTGGGTTGTTCGTAAACCGAGCAGTGCGTTTGTTTACGAGGGCAAGTGTTTGTGTTTACTTGTTGTAAATAAAGAGAGAATTCGTGTTATGTTGATATCGAATTGATCCATTTGGTATTAGCTAGTTTTGTGTTTTGGTAATTGGTGTCTACAGTTGATTGCTTCGTTTATGGAATAGCATTTCCAGGTTTGTTGTTTATGCGTGAATGTGAATTTTAGCCTAATTATTTATTTCTTCATCATTAATATAATTATTCTAAAAGTTAGGAAATGATTGAGTTAAGCTATTTAATTATTATGGAACATTAAAGATATGCCAAAAATAAGTGGATAGTAATTTTGGTTTCATTTTCAATGACTTTTAGATGAGTAAAAATTTAACATATTAAATAATAGAACGGTAACTTTCTAGATTTAATCTCATCAACTAGATTTTAATTGGTTGTACATGTGGGTGAAACAATGTATGAAAATTATTAGCATTAGTAACGGATTAGCTGTCATGAAATATGTTGACGTTTCGTCACAGAGCACTCCTTATTTAATTTGATTGGTGAGAAACGCTAGATAAAACGTTTACATTTCGCAATATTCTCGACGTGTAATTTTAAAAACATATTTTAAACTGAAAAGTCAATTTTCCCGTATGCCAATAGGTTTCGAAGTCGTCGCGACGCCGAGAGAGGGTCCCAAAACGGTGCTAGAACGGTCTCTAGTCTCGCTTCCCTAGTTCGTTTTCCTTTCTTTTCTCCTTTCTATTCCACACCTGAAATTTCCATGCCATACACTTCCACAATTACACAATCTTCTTTACCGAGATTAACTCGAAAATGAAACGCTCACAAAAGAAATATTCCCGCTATAAAAACACCTATTATGCTAAATTAAAGCTTTCCCGATACAATCACCGGTTCCTTTTGCCGGCTTTCTGGCTTCCAGGTTCGTATTTCACTGGGGGTTGATACCTTTCTTTAATCAGTCGTTTTTCTTTTAGGCATTTTGATTAATTTTTTAGTTTTTATTTGTTTTAATCTTCCCTGTTAAAAATAATCATTTTTTGTTGTTTAAAATTTTATATTTGGGATCTACAGTATGCTTATACGTTAGTCCCCCACTGGTCTACGTGCATTCAGATAATACCTACATACTAAAAATGCGCTTTTCCATTTCTCATTTTTTTGTCATTCTCGATGTATAGCTGTTCTACAAAAATGAAACGCAGTTCATTTGCGTTTGTGCCTACCTACCTTTAAGTGAGGCTCGTTTTTTTGAAACATGAATATTTAGTACGATTCTTTATCTAATTAGTCTCATTCTAGCTGTAGCTTAAAATGTAGGTAAACAGTATATCCTAGCGTAGTTTGTAAACGTAACAAGTCTGTTATTATACTGGAAATAGGTCACAAAATATTTCGCTCTTTGTATTTTAGCGTCGAATAAAATTTATGTCAATCGGATTTAACTCGTAGGATGCCTGTTTCAGTGTTTAAATTTTTCATGATGACTTTTCCTATACAATCGAATGCAAAGCTCCCTCAGGGTATGTCGTATGTAAAAAAGCGAGCTTTTAACACTATTACGATGACATTGATTTTGTTTTATCTGCAATCGAAATTCCGACACATCGCTGGGAAAAATTACAGACACTTGTCAGATTCCCTAGGAAAGTTTACATGCCCTTAGGTCATTCGAAAACAGTAGCACAGAAGAGAGGTTGTTAGACTGAATAATTAACGAATGATTTTTTTTTTCAATAGGAAAATTTATTTGGATGATATCATTGAGTTAGGAATTCAATTCGCTCTAAAAGAACTAGCTTGTGCGTCATTCGCCGGGGCGAAAAATCCGACGAACTAAATATTCAGAATATTTGCTGCACTATTGAAGACGTGCGGACGACGGAAAAGTGTTTAGAGAATTGAAAAAGTTCTCCACGAATTCTAGGAAACATTGAAATCCCATTTTTGTCGATCGAATGAATGAATATTCAAGGTTTAGTCGCATTCCTACTGCACTGCAATTTACATGTAGGTTCTCGTGGATTTCCACTTCGAGGAAAAGTCCAACACGTTCGACGGACTTAACTCCCTGTGATTTAGTTCTGAAAATTTAACACCAGCTATTCGTATGTTTTGTAAGACGTGTCTTGCAACATAATATATATTTTTAGCAGAATCCCTGCGAAGCTTGCGGGTGCTACCGTCTAATGTCCGAAGTACAATATTGCATTTTTCTTTGGTCGAGACGTTACTAAAAGACCATAAAATATCTTTAAAACTTGTCATATAAAATCTTCAAGCGCTAATACTTTGGGCACATCATTTCGTACGAACATTGTGACTTGAAATCGGCGTGCAGGATTGGCTTTTGATTTGGCAGTTACTTCCAATACTTGAAATTTATGATTTACCTTGATACTTATTATCCATTGTCACGACAATATCGCTTTTATTTCCGATATTAAATTAACCATTTTTTAAAAGAATAAAATTGTAGCAAATGAATAAATCGGAATGTGATTGCGCGCCGCTCCTGGCACTTAACTTTGTTCTATTCAGTTTTTCCTTCGTCATTTTTCTGCAAGTACGAGCGAGTAATGAGTCTCGTAAACGTCTAACGCAATTTACAGCTAAAATGAATGGCAAACAAATGTATAAACCTCAAAAGACAACAATGTGTTTGCGAATGCCATAGCTGAAAGTTCATTTCGTCTCGAGAGCGCCTTTATTAATTACGCTAAAAGAGGAACGAGCTCGTTCGTTACTTTCTTACGACGGATGAATAATAAACGATAAAATTTGAATTCAGTAATGGCAATAAGTATTTTTGGTTCGTATTTGTATCGTGGAATCGTTAGTACGATTGTGGTGCAACGTTTCACCCGCATAGCCATTAATTGTATTATTTAATTTAATTAAGAATACTTCATTAACGCTACACCAGCGCCATGGCGTAATTCGACTGGTTATTTATCATTTGCAGTTTAATTTATAGCTTGTGTTATCGGGACTCTCGTATCGTAATATTGTGTTACAAACATTTCTAGTTTTTACCGCTCTGAATAAATAAACCACCTGATACATAAATTGTACCTATACGAATAAATAAAATAATAACAGATACAGTTTCTATTCCGATATAATTTTATCGCCCTATTTCCATTATCAATTTCACTTTTCATTTTTTTTCTCAACTGGGTGTTGTATTAACCAACATCTGCTTATTAAACTGTAACAGACAAATCGAAATGAATAATTCTAAGAAAAATACTTTCTCATACTCCGGCCAGAAAGAAAAAAAGCTGTTTCAGTTAAGGTGAATATTTTAAACACATCTGATTTACAAAACTAAAAATTACGCCGAATTTACAATTCAAATTTTCTTGGGCGCTTTATTTATATACCTACATTTTTCTGTTCGTCAGCAAAAGGGGTTGACCTATGGTCAAGGAAGGGTTTAAAATAAATCTTGACCGGTCGAGTGGACTCGCATCTGTCGCGCTGCTTTCGATCAACCCTTATCTCGCCTGATAATTGCGAGAACGGTGTTTCACCTAAGGGTTTTAAATTTGGAGAACGCCGCAAACGGAATGGGAAATTGTGAAAGTAAATCATTGTTTCTTTTCTCTGAACTCTGAACGAATCAAATCGATCTCAAATTTAAGTAACGCAAAGCTAGGTTCGTTTCTTAATTGAATGTTGTAGTTAGATAATACTTTCTCCTACACTATCTACACGTACATAAGTGTTTTTTAAGTGTATATAATAACGTCAATAAAATAGTAATAGCTACAGTAGAAGCCCTTATACAGAGATTCACAAACAGCTAAACGTAATAAAATTAATTCTGTGCATGCCTACACGTCTGTTAGTCATGTTTTCGTGTAGACTTATTTTGGCGTATAGGAAGTCGTAAATCGTACTGAAATGGATGAAAGTCGTAAAAATATAATTTTAGTGATCCAATAAGGCAAGGACGTTTCTGTATTGCGGCATTATCAGGTGACATATTAAATTACGTATTGTGCTTCAATTTTCGTTTAGATATCAAATTTTTACGATTTTTATTTTAGAATATTTTGTCATATTGTTAAAATGTTTATGTGCGTTCGTTATACATTTTTTTTTCTTCGTTTAGTTCTCATGTCTTATAAGAATTGTAAAACTGGTTATTCGTTAGGGTGAATTGGAATTTTTCACCCATCTATTAGATAAAAGTTATTTGTAAGAAGTGGGGGGTTAGCACGCACCGTAGACACACACCGGTTTATCCTAATTGTTGCTTTTGCTTGCAGAAACTGAAGATTCAAAGTCGTCGCAGCATCCACCACGCCACACAACAGTAGACCATGCGCTAGAATTCAACCTTGCCGAAACTTTTAAAGATACATCATCGACAATCCGCTTCGCTTCGCCTACCCGCTTGTGCAAGAGATACATTTTGCTCTAGTCCAAGTAAGCAAAAATCAACAACGTCGTTAACAGAGAAGGAACAGTGTTTATTTTTTATACGGAACAATGGACAATAATTCTACCTGATCTGAAGCCTATTGAATATCTCAGTCGCGTCCTACGTCCATACTGAATCGCGTCCGCACTTCGGTGAATTCACAAAAAATTCAAATTGTCTCGTGTGATTCTTTCGACAAAAAACGAACATTAATTAATTTTTAAAAAATTATCGAGATGGCTATGGTCAACATGAATAACTTATTGAACGGAAAGGACTCCAGATGGTTGCAGTTGGAAGTGTGTAGGGAGTTCCAGAGAAACAAGTGCTCCAGGCCGGACACGGAATGCAAGTTTGCACATCCGCCGGCCAACGTCGAGGTCCAAAATGGAAGAGTGACGGCTTGCTACGATAGTATTAAGGTGAGTTTTTAAATTTTATTTATACTAGTTTAACATTTTTATGTTTAAGTTAGTTCGAATTTTTAGTAACTATATTGGATGAAAGAGTTCTTTTATAACAGAAATGCATTCATAAAAATATCTTTTTAGTGGTAAATGTTTGCTGTACTTTATTAGACTCGATCAAAACACGTTTATATTTCGTGCTTTGAATACGCTTCGAGCTTTAGTAAAATTTGAGAATTTTATTTAAGTTTGCGTTTTGTGTATCGCGAAATCGATATCTAATATTTAAGCAGATAGGTAATATTTCTTCAAACTTGCAATTTTATGTGCACACCTGTCGAATTTATATTTTAATAATTTAGGTTAAACAGTTTTTATCCTTGTAATTCTTATAATAAGATCGATGATTCGTTTACGTTTAAATCACATTCACGCCTTGTAATCGCAACTATGCGGGCAGGTGCATAGTAGTGCATTGGCCTCGAGATATTTTTCAATAATAACCTTTCGCAATTTCAGCTGTATCATAAAACGTTTTAGGTAGCGCTGTGCTATTAGTTAAATTAACGTTTGTCTAATGCAAGATAAGAAACTTTACATAAAAATTAGATTAAAGGCATGGCATCGGTTGCGTTCAGAATTAAAAGACATTTCTCATTTAAAACGATCGAAGAAATGTCTTCGCTTTGCCGTTTTTCCTTCGCCTTCGAACTTTTCGAAAAACCGCTCGCCGACGATCCGTTAGGCGGCACGGAAAACACCGCATTCGTCCTTGTTGACACAGAACGACTGCTCGTTGCACTTTAATATATCCAGCCGGGCGGCGGCAATAACGCGAGCGAACAAAGTGCCGCTTCCGTCTAACTTCTCCAATAAGAGATATCGAGTTGCACAAATCCAGATGCCGCGGCGTCGCTTTTACTGCCGCCCCTTCGGCTATCCCTAATCGGTTGCACCTATACTTTGCCACTATCCCGTTCCACTATTAATTCATTTCATATTTGGTACGAGTGTACGTGTCGTGAAATTATACATACCATCATTGGTGGAACATTCAAATAATTATTATTGTATTTTGATATCGGAGTACATTCTAAACATATTTCTTAATAAAAATATGGATTTGGGTCACATATGTATAAAACTGCGCATGAGACTCTTGTTTGCAACTATTCGCAATTATTTGCAACTACTTGCAACTGTTGCAAAATTTATCAGATCAGTAGACACTTTGACAATTGATTTAATTTTTTTTTTATAAACGATGTATAATTTTTTTCTTGTTATCGACACGACTATAAAAGTCCTTGCCAACGGAAACTAGCTTAAAGGTCGGTATATGACGGCGTCTCTGGATTGTTTTAAGGAACATTATCTCTGCTAATCTCGCTGTAATTAGAAAATGCAATTTCTCGAGGAGCGATAGAGACAGATAGAGACTGGCCGTTTTTTGTCGGGAGCGCGAGAAGTGCATAGTCTACGGGCGGAATGCATTTGCACGTAGTCTATATGGGAGTCGTTCGTTTAAATGGAGTTGTTTCCCTTCGCTGGAACTCCGTACCAATTTCTTTAAAAGGTATTGTTTGAGTTAATTCAAACGTTAAGAACGACTTGTTTTTTAATTCGTAATAGTCGCGAACAATTTGTCTAAAATGGCCTTTTTTATATGCAGTAAATGCATTTTTATATGCACTAAAAATACTAGTTTAATTTCGTTTGGTCCTTTCGCGTTAAATTTGTATAAATTTAAACTCAATATACCGGCATTATTAATAACTCTTCCCTTTGATGTCATATTAATCTCAAGTAGTTAATGCGAAAATTAGTTCTGCGAGCAAGATACTCGACGTCCTTATTAGTGTACATTAATTAATAAGCTTTTAGAAACGCTCTCGATATACCTGATTGCACACGTTTGCTTTCTCTACGTAACCTATTGATTGCAGGAATCATAATTCATAGATTGAATTAGCCGATTCACTACCGGATCGGTTATCGTTTGAAAATAAATGGTTAATGTCAGTAGGTCAACAATAGGGTTATATTTTTCGTTTTTCGTGATTCTTACGAAAAGTAATCGATACGAACCGTCCGCTTTGAACTGGATTTTTGTAAAAACGTAACACTTGGTGTGTTTGGATAGCGTTGATCGAATTTCCCGCCGAAACATATAATGTGAAAAAACTGCATCTCTAATTCCGCGTAGTTTCGAATTTCATACGAATGCTATGCATGCACGGTTTCAGAGCCCGGTTTTACCCCAAGCGAACAAATTTTCTCCGCATAAAGCTTGCGTACAGAACCGAACCGACTGAATATACATTTTTTTTTCATCGAACGGACTAAATTTCAATTAATTTCCTGGGATTTAATTGAACAAATTGCCGATCTAATAAATGCAAATTTAAAATTATCTATTAAAATTCATTTATTATAGCTTTTCGAAAAATTTGCTATCGATCAAAAAATACGTGTCGTTGCAACCCTGATTTCGGGGGGCATACTATTTGTGCGCGCACCGGCAAAGTGTATAAATGCGAAGAGTAAATGTCATATTTTCTGCTTTACATGTCTGGGTGTACGGCAATATAAGTAGAAGAAGGAAAAATCCTTAGGAGCGGGTGGCGTGCAAATAAAAAGGTCTGGAAACATGACACGAAGGAAAAGCCCAGGGGTTTTTGTCGGGGATAAACGAACGCCCTGAATAAGAAACTAGATTAAAGGAGTTTCTCTTTGGGCCTCTCTCTCTCTCGACTTATTTAGTTTACAGATAGAATGCCGCCTTGGTAGTATAAGTGGTACACAAAATGTTAATTTTGTAGTAATAGTTGTTCTGTATCAATCAAATCACAAAGCTGCACAATAACTGATTGATTAAAAGAATTTTTGGTGCAAACTTTTTGTACGAGTAGTGTATCTGCCTATATTTGCACCTATTTTTGTGTCGTTGGGTGCACACTTTTAAGAGGAACATTAAAATCCACATAATTGGAGTTAATTATTACATATTTCAAATAATATTATTTAAATTCGAATACAATTCATGCGGCCATATAAACTTAATTAACCTGTGAGGTGCTAATGAACTGCGCCAAGGTGAATTTTTTTTTTCGACGCCGAACACGACGCCCACCTGACTATATTGCATATATGTAGAATACGTATATACATTCTAACGTTTTCTTGTAACGCCAAACACAACATCTCGCCTCTCGACGGAATTGGATCGTTGACATTAACATGAGCGAATTTCGAGCCGATGAGACTTCATACCGGAATAAATTAAGAGAATAAGATGTCTGGAAACCCGAATCTGATGGAGTTGCCGCAAAATCTCAGAAATCACCTAACTCTAATTACGTCGAGAATTACGTTCGAGATATTACAATGAAATTACATTATTTATGCATTTCGAGGAATTCCCCGACCAACTTTAGCCACTCGTGAAAATTCGTTTAAATTCGATAATAACTTTAATTTTTAATAAGCTAGTAAATTTGTTTTTATTTTCCTTCTATATAATAAATTCGAACCAATGCCATTTTATTGTACACCTCAACCCGTGACGTCTGTACGATCATCTTTAATTAAACTAATGCGTTTCGTATAAATCGTGACCTCTTTTTCGAGCACACGAAAATATATTTTCGGTTTATCTATTGCGCCGTAAATGAAGCCGTCGGTTTTCAATCGGGAAAGGGCCAGACGGAGCACCGCGTTGCCTTCCAAACTACGATATATCAAATTCTGGGCAAAGGAGAAGAGGCAAGGCGAGGAACTGACAGTGACAAGTAGTATTGTTGTATGATGTCATCATTGTACAACGGATTGCGATTTCTCTGTTCCTGCAATTGCGGTAGTTTCCTTTAACGGGCCTGTTCCTGCCATTCACATGATGTTTCCTGTCTCTGTAAGATCATTATAGTAAATATGCGCGGTTAAACGTGGCCGTTTAATGGCGTTAATAGTCGAAATAAATGCCTGATTTGAGATATTTTAATAATGTAATTAAATGTAATTAAAACATTTGTCACAAATGAATTAATCGAATATAAGTTTTGTAAATGCCCAATAAAATAACCTCTTTAACAATGCGTTCATAAAAATTTTTTAAAGCATATCTAGACAACTAATTGGAAAACTAGTTGTTCTTATTATACATTCACCGTGGATTGATTTTTATCTTTTCAGTTGAGTGAACCGACCAATTATTAGATTTCTTGCTATTGACACAATAAGGTCATCGGTTCTAAAAAGTTAAACGGATCCTTATTATACTCAATTTTTTATATTATTTAAAACCAATTATCTGCTCTTTCTTGGTCGTTATTTAAAGCGTCGATTTCAATTGTATTTGCAAACATTCTTCGACAACAGCCTGCTATCTTTAAACCTAACATGTATGCGTGATCTTATCACCATCGAAATTAATTACATATGCCGATATACGGTCGTGTATTACAGCAACTTAAAATTCCTCTAACATGTTTATTAATTCTGACACGATGATTTCTCACCTTAGTTCCTTCGATGAGTGCTGATATTGTGTTATATATTTTCTAATATTCCTAATTGGCTTAAGAATGCTTTTAGCTCTTCAAATGCTGCTTATAGGGTGTTTTTTTAATGAATATAACTTTGAGTATCTGTGTTATTGGGAAGGTCGCGTATACTTTATTTGTATAAATAAAACGTACTCTTTTATATGAACTTGATAATAAAACCTGTCGAAACTCTTTTAGGCGTTGCAAATGGTATTATCGATTCCCTTTAGAAATTATGAAAACCTATTTAGTATGTTTACGTAAAATAATGACCCAAATAGCCCCATTATGAAATATGTCTATAAATCTCTCGATATAACGAAACATATTTACAATGAATCGATTACCATCCATCTTCTTTGAAAAGAATACAAATTTTATTGTTTTGTATTTTTTATTTTACCAGAGTATAACCAAATTTACCTCATTACTAGTTTTATCTAGGTTACATCATTCCGAAAATTTCGTTCGAGTTCATGTGGCAGCTATCTCCTATAACGTTTTTTCCATTTATTCTATTCGCACATACGCATTCATTTAAGAAGATTAAGGAAGTACCCCATTTGTTCATTGCATTTCAAAGTCCTCGCAAACAGAAATTAGACTCATACATATTTCAACGGCGCGTTTAGACTGCCTCCACATTCTGCGCGATAACGGCACTCTATTTTTTTCTTGTGGTGTTCTCTTTCTCCTCCTACTCATCGGATTATGGAAGCAGAAAAGGCGGTTTCTAAAAATATATTACACGGTTTCATATAGGGTTATTCGATTTTTGCATTAAATTTATTACATGTGGGTCGTAATAAGAAATTAATTTTATTAAAAAACGTAGAATTGAATTCTTTAATACTCGTATACTCGTAGATATTTAAAATTCTTGGTTTAATAGATAAAATCTAAATATGCAAAAGTTGCCATTGAGTTTAGGTATTTATTGCAATGTTATGAATCACCCTATTTGAAATAGGGATTTATATGTATATCGGTTTCTCGTTGCTTCATTGCTTCCTTTTTCTCCCTTCTCTTTCTGTTTTTCTACTGCGGGGTATCAACTTGTAGAATAATAACAATGAAAGAGATTTATGTTCGTTCGAAGATGCATTCGATTTGCATATTCTTTTTTTCGTTAATGCTAAAAGACTTTAATGGCTTTTAACTCTTTTTGTGGAAATAAAGGAAGTTGATTCAATACGGAATTTTACCAGATTAGTTCTTAAATTGTATTCTGTAGGTTTGTCGAAGTTATAGGTAAAAAACAGTATTCAAAAAAGTTAGTATTAGATTCAAAGTAAAAGTATATGGGAAACGAGGAAGTTTAATTCGTAAAATCCGTGGAGTTTTAGAAAGTTGTGTCATCCTTGCGGTCGAAAACATCGCCGGCAATTTGTAGATGACGCTGTATCGCCCGAAGAGCTCGTCATCTCCCATCGTTGGCGCCCGTTGCGAGCGATAGCATTGTTTCAATTACAATTTTAATTAAAGATTCAGACGGCTATCTGGATCATTGTTAACGTTAAACGGAGAAATTTTGCCGGGCCGGATTCCCGGCGACCGTTAGCCGCCTCTTTCCCTTCTTCTCCCGTCCGTCTCTCGCTCGCTTTCGAAGACTTGGGGGTTTTGTCTTTTCCGAAGGGAAGCGACTTTCCTCAGTCATCTGTCTCAATTTATCTTTTTAATAACGTTTACAGGCCACACGTTGCTCACTCGACTCCTCGACGAAAAGTTAATTCGAAAATCCGAGTCTGGCCCGTTTCATTTCGTTTAAGGTTCGACGGATGTTACCGAAGACGAAGTAAAATCTATTATAAAACCCTACATTAATTTACGGACGTTACAACAGAAATTTCTTTCGCTACAAATTCCCGATAATTTCGCCAATAACATCACTTCTATTATCTTTCCCGTCTTTTAAGTAGGTATTATTTTTTTTTTATTTTTAGAAGTATTTATGATTTTGATTATAATAGCGAAGAAAATCCTTTACCGTTTTTCTAACGGTTTCCTTAACACTACCCAGCGATACACCCAACAAGCCAACCCTAACCCTCCTATTTCTTCCCTTTCATCGGAACGTATTTCCTTTTTCTCGTATAACTCTATCGACGCCGGCGATATTAAGAGTCGCGAATGACCCCTAGAGGGCGATCGGGTTACGTTTGGTCATACGACAGATGGTCGGCAAGAAGAGGAAGTAACGATATAATGACGGGTTTTGATGCCAGCTTGAATTTGATTATGTTACAGTTGCGACTATGTGATTTCAGCGTGTAATTATAGTAACTGGCTGGCTTTTGTGTTCAGAATGAATTTAATATTAGCGCGCGGATTGTGCAAGAAGAATGAATGGAATGACTTGTGTTCTATTAATTAATGACAAAGTACTGATATTTTGTTTGCAAACTTTGTAAAACTTTGATTAGCAATTAGGCCTTGATCAGTCAATTCCTGTCGAACGTCTATTCTAGTACCTACATTAGACAGTGATTAACTACGCAAGAATAAATTTGAGCAATAAAATTTTGGTAGATAGTTTCAAGAAACTCATTAATATTAGTTTTTTGTGATTACCTATAAACTGTCCGATAATTTCTAATGAAAACCATTAAACCTTGATTAACCAATCAACCTTCTATTGTGTTTCCACTTCAGGATACTTTAATAGAATTTCATAATTTCACTTATTATTATAATTATATTTTTTGTAGTATCTATAATTGAATATAGATAATGAAAATTGAATTAGATGAATGCAATAAGCGCACATCTCA